TTTGGAACAGCCGAAAAATCTTGACCCTCAACAAGAGTATGCGGAGAATATGGAATATTTCCAAGAGTCTAAAAAAAATTCGGCTGACATAGTAGAAGAATATCGAAAAATGTTTGCCGACATACAAAAGACTCCAACACAAGATGAAAATATTCAGCATAGAATGGAAGTACTGAAAAAAATGTACACAAATACAACAACCCTTTTTACTTACGAGCATTTAACGTTCAATCTTTGGATGAACTCGGTGAAAATAAAAGGTTAAATTTCAACAAAACATATAGAAATGAAACATTGTTTAAAGTTCATTCAGAACCTAACCAAGATGGAAACAAACCTATTTTTGTTTCTGCAGACGATGGAACTACAATGAGATGGGGTCATAAAGCTAACCCGGATAGGTGGTTCATAAACTTACAACCACAATTCCAAGAAGTTGTAGACGCAATGGAAGTCAATGGTGAACCAGATATAGCTGGTATTTTCAGCGCGGCTTTAATGCCATTGAAAGATATGAAACATGTAGATATTTTGGACCAGTATGAAATGAACATGGCTGATGGAAATATAACACCTGACGTTCTAGAACATTTATCTCAAAGAACTACACAGAACCATAGAGATGGTATATTTGGTGAAGAGTTTAGAAAGAAAGTTAGGGAGGGAAAAGGAAGAGAACCTATTGTACATGACCTTGCAAACGAAAGTTTACAAAATGTCATAAAAACTTACTTTGCAGACGATGAACTGAGAAGGGATGAATATTTAAGAAAACTCAAATGGACAGTACCAAATGAAATGTTAGTATTGAAAAACATGTTCCTTGACAAAATAAAACCAACTACAGAAATAAACGACGCAAGACTGAAAGATTGGGTAAAAGCTTTCCCATTCACAAAGGATATAGTTGGTAACATGGAAAGAAAACCAGAATGGCTACAAAAACATATATTTGGAAACGAGCTTATTCCATATGGACAGGCACTGTTTGAAGAGCTTGAACCGGAAACTCAGGACAGAGTCATGCAAACAATACGCAAAGACTCAAATACAAACTATGACAAACTCTTTCTAGGATATAGGTTACCTGAGATGGGCGACCAGAGCCCAAAGGCAAAAAGGACATGGGAAATTTACAACATACTAGATGAACATGAGGCAAAGATGCAACAACTTCAAGCAGAGGGCAAGTTACCAAAGCGACACCAAAGAAGAAGAGTAGAACAAAGTGAAAGTAGTGAAGAAGTAACTTCATCTAGTGAAAGTAGTGGCAATGAAGGAAAAAGAAGAGTTAAAAACTCAGTCAGGAAGAAAGTAAAGCTTGGTCGGAGTGGGTTCTATTATGACATATAAATCCAACTATTCTATATTTTTACTCATATGAAATGTACGCCGCTCAGAATATAACGCCAACAGTTTTGGATGCCATGAATGGAAATGTTTCCGAATGGTATAACGAATGCGACAATGCCATTAGAAGGTCAGAAATAGTTCCTGGAACTTACGAATATACAACTGCTGTTTCTTATGGAAACGTAGGTGAGTTTGGAGAAGGTTCTTCAACAACAGTAGATATTGCTTGCGACAGGTTTCATATTATTTCTATTGACAACTCTTTCTTATACATGGAACAAGACATTGAAATAAAACCTTCTGCCAAGTTGTCTGACAAGAAAGGTTGCAATGGAATTTTCTATGTCGGATACCAATATGCTCCAGAAGTTTTCATGGGATATAAGATATATTCTAACTCTGATTTAGTTCAAACAGTAACATGGGCAAACTATGAATGGTTCGCTTTGAGAAACTCAGTACAACCACAAGCTAGAGAACAAACAGACCAGTATGCAACTATTGAGAAAATAAGAAGACTTGACCCTAACGTTCCAGGAGTTTATGTTGACCTTTCTGGACAAACTGCAGCAGCAGTAACCAAAGTAAAATTGAAACTTAGAGTTCCTTTGTCATCTTTCCTCATCTTCAGGTTTTTAAGATACTTGCCAAACTGGGCAGGAAAAATTTCTATCGAACTTACTCCAAGCAAAAATAACTTAGTCATTGCACCAACGCAAGACCGATTCAGCATTGCTGTAGCTGGAACTGGTGGAGCCAAGTTCTGTGACTTTTGCAAAGACAAAGTTGACTTAGACTTTGGTTTCTCAAACCTCAACACTGAAGTAAACTACTACTTCAATGCTGCTGGAACTGCTTGGGACCCAGTTAAGTTCACATGCGAAAAGTTTGAATGCAAGAGAATAGAAAGCAGACTTGCAGTCTATATGTTGGACCCAGATATTTCAAATGCTTTAGCTGCCAAATATATTGCAGTTCCACTTATGTTCCCTATACACCAAATATCTGTCAAAGACTTTGCAGGTGAAGTTGGAAACCAAAGTGCTGACCCAGGTGCAAGAACAGATATTGCTTTAACAACTGCAATGAAACATGCAGATACTATGTTTGTACTGTTCAGACGAACTATAAATGACTATTCTTGCTTCTACAACCCTGGTATTAAATACCATATAAACATAGATGGCAAATACTATCCAAGAGAAGAATATTCTACAGTTGAGGATATGAGGTCATACAACTTGACATTAGATGCTATGAACTTTAACAACAACTTCACAACAACCATTAACCCTGAAATGCAAAGTTCTATTATGCCATATGTGAAAGTATGGACTCATACAGGAGGTCAAAAAACTCAATATACAAATGGAGACCGTTCAAACTTTTGGCTTGGCATTCCATTTGCTGACTCAGAAGACTTTATGGGTGGTATTTCAACTGTTGGTACAGTTCAAATACAATATACTGGTGACAGAGACGGTCCAGATGAATTGAAAGCAAAGAAGTTTACAAAACCAATAGCACTTTTCACGGAAGATGCTCTTTTGAAAATTCGTTCGATGAAACCTGCTGGGGCTCCTCAGATTGGTATAACGACAGCTTCCATCGAGCAGATTTTGGCAGCAGGTCAGTAAGTTGTTCTTGAACTGACTTCTCTCCGTCAAATATTGACAGTACGCCAGTTTTGATATAATATTGTATTAAAAACTTTCCTTTAGAAATATCGGTCAGTTTTGTTGTTATATTTTTGTCTGCTTCAAGAACTTTCACCATCTCGGTTATACCAACTTTCTTTGCTTTATGAAAATATTTTGGTTCAGCAAAGACTGCTATTCTATAACATTTTCCATTGTTTGTGTAAAGAACTATTCTATCAATGAACTTGTATTGTTTGTGTGTGTAAACTTTGTTTTGCTTCAATTCGAAGAGATACTCAAATACGTCCATCTTTTTATTCTAAGTAAAATGTCATTTCCGAAAAATAGAAGCGTAAGTGTTCAAAAGGTTTAATGGCGATGGCAGATGTGAAGTTAAATTCACCAACTCAAACAAACAGTCAAAGTGTTGTTGTCAATGTCAAAGACAGAGATGTTGAAGGGGAAACCATACGAAGACGAAGATGGTATAACAATAGTTCCTGTAAAAGAACAACCAACATACCCTGAAGTTAGCAGAGACTTAAGTTCTGTTGCAGATATTCGAAACGACTACCAACAACTGAAAGACAAACTGAAAACTCAGGAGAAGATTTGTCAGGCTTTAGGTTTAATGTTAAACTTGGTTGAGCACAACCCTGTAAAAGTGAACTCATATGTCATCGCACCTCATGAAATTTTGAAAGAACTATTGAAACTTTTGACAGAGGCAGACGATATAAACATCAAAGAAATAGAACCCGACATTGCTTGCTGTGGTGTTTCATATAATGTCATTGACAAGATATACGTTATGAAAGGAGGTGAAACGTTGAACTTAAAATATAGTTTCCCAGACGTCATAAAAATATTTGACGACCACAACATTTCATTAAAATTTAGTTGCTAAGTAAATGTCAAAACTTCTTGAAAGATGTTTGAAGAAAAACAATATAGACTTTATTTCATGTAAAGGACTTTACACACTTTTGAACGATATGAAAGACCCTGTTTTGTTTGTTCGTGTAGACAAAGGAAAGTTCTATGTCTTTACAAAATATTTGAACTTCTTAGACAGAGAACTTCAAGAAACGCCATGTGAAAGTTTAGATGAAGTTCTTCTCCACTTTCAGAAAAACTTTTAAATATATGTAAATGGCAGAAGACATAGTGGTTATACTATTACGACTAAAAACCCTGAGTCATATAATTCTATAACAACAAACTTACAAAGTCCTCAAGGACGATATTGTAAACTGACCTTAAACACGATGACGACTAAAGCCTGTTTTGCTCTTTTGACACCAGAAGATTTTATTGTTGTGAATGGTAAAAAATACTCCTTTGAAGATACTTACTCAGATATACCACCAACAGGTTTTGTTGACTTATTTAATACTTTAAGGACGGATGTAACATGTGCTGCAACTAGAGCAGGTTTCATTATGTTTGGATGTCCGACTGAGTTTAGTATAAACGATATGAGCTATAATACAAAACTTATATCTGGTTTTTACTACCAACAGTTTCCTATAACAGGAAAAGGTGTCATACAAGGAATGTCTGTTCCATTGACTTTAAGTACACCTATTTTATATATTGTTTCAAACTTAGGTTCAAAGTGCTATTCGAATGTCGACAGAAACTACTATGACCAAAAGATACTCATGCGTATAAACAACACTTTCTCTGCTGGTTTGCCTATTGTTCATTCGAATGCAGAGTTTTCAGCTTTAGTGAACTCAAACACTTTAGCAAACATAAACTTAACCTTAGTCGACGCAAACTTTGTTCCTGTAAAACTTTTATGTCCTATGTATTTGTCAATGACGGCAGAAAGTTTCGAATTGGAAGATGCAACTGGTGAAAGTATTGTATTACAAGAACAACTTCAACAACAAATAGCTCAAGAACAACAAATGCAACAAATGGAACAAATGCAACAACAAAGTCAAGAACAACAAATAGCTCAAGAATAAAAAAAATATTGTTTTTTATTTTTATAAAAAAATGTACAGAATAGACGTTTCAGATTTTTATGACTTCCAAGCCTTCAGAAATATGTGTCCATTTCGAGACTATAACAAAGCAGTCGAGAATTTGAAACGTTTAGTCATTTATGTCGACTCTGCCCCAGAATGTTATGTCATGAAAGAATGGGATGTAGTCTTTAACAAACCAAGAGCGACAATAGTTTCAGAACAAGAATGTAAACAGAAACTTAAGAAAATAAAAGTCGTACAAGTTGGCATGAAGATGTTAGATGCTTGGGATATCTTATTGTCAAAGTTAGAAGATTTTTCAGTTCGTGGTATAAAGTTCTATACACCATCTCCAAACTTCTATTCTATCTTCACTGGATATAAATACGAACAAGTAGAATGGAAAGAAAATGTTATAGAAGCTTGGTTAGACCATGTCAAAGAAATTATATGCAATGGAAACGAAAGAGTCTATGAGTATATCTTATGTTGGTTTGCAAACATCTTACAACATCCAAGTGCTAAAAATGAAACTGCTCTCATTGTAATTGGAAAACAAGGAACTGGTAAGAACACTTTCTTTACAGATATTTTGTGCAAACTGTTAGAGGGCTATTCGAACCCGAATATGACAAACTTAGAAAACATCTGCGGTAAATTTAACTCTTCAATAGAGAATATGAAACTTATAGTATGTAACGAACTTCAAAGTATAGATACAACAAAGGTTTTAAACTCAGATGCTTTGAAGAGTCTTATAACAGACAAAGTTGGAGTTGTTGAAAGAAAGTATAGAGACCAAAGAGTTTGTGAAAATGTTGCAAACTTCGTCATGGTTTCAAACAACGCCGTTCCGATGAAGTTAGAAAGTTCTGACAGAAGATATGTAGTTGTCAGAACGTCAGAAGCTCATATGCAAGATACAGAATATTTTGACGACTTAGCAGAAACTTTGACACCTAACTTTTACAACCACTTGTTCTCATATTTCATGACATTAGATATTTCTAAGTTCAATCCAAGACAAATTCCACATACCGAAGAGAGACAAACATTGTTAGAAGCAAACAAGAGTGTATATGAACTGTTTATAGATGAGACTGACTTTGAGTGTTTAGATGAAAGGTCATTGTACGATTCGTATAAACAGTATTGTCAAGAATATGGTTATATGACAGCTTCTAAACGTACATTCTTGGCAAATGTCAAAAATCTTTTAGATGTTCAGAATGGTGTATATACAAAGAAAAATTTTTCTGAGTAAAATTTTAAAAAAAAATTTTTTTTTATTCCGATAGAAAAGATGGCGAAATTCATCTCAGTCAACAAGTATATGTCAGGACTTAAAGAAGAACTAGACCCATTCACATATTTGAATGTTTACTTCTACCATTTTGAAAAGTCTACATTTGACAAAGTTTGGAACATCGAACCAGTTAAGTTTGCTATTGTGACTAAAAATGGTGCGAAATTTGAAGACTTAGACATAGAAGGTTTGTTAACAGTCAAAGAAAGTTTTGACAGAAGGTTTTCAAACCTTAAAGAAGGCAAAGCATACAAACTTGTTATACCTTATGAACCAAAGAAAGCAGACGACTATGAATATTATGAGTCTAAAGTTGTAGAAGTTCAAGGTAAATTGGGTAAAAAGATTTTAGAGTCTAAGCCAGTGTTTGCTCCTAAAGAGGAAGAGAACATTGACATTGACCCAGAAATGTTCTAAAAATAAAATTTTATTTTTTACATGTCATATCTCCCCTTCTCTGGAACTGGTTCTTTCTTCTCTTCTTCTACTTTTTTTCTTTCTTTTCTCTCTTCTTCTTTCTCTGGTGGAGTTATGTCAAACTTCTCAGAACCATATTTTTGTAAAAGTGCTTTGTCATTTAATAGCTCTTCTATTCTGTTTTCTATTTCATTTTCAAGAACAGCGCATGTGTCTTCTTTGCATTCTAAGAAGTTTTGTTGGACTTCATCTCTCCAAGAGGCGTCATCTCTGTCAACAAAGTCTGTCATTGACAAATTTTAAGACTTCTCTGCTTAAGGTTTTATGGTTCTTGTCATATTCCCAGAAACAGAACTTTAGAACAAATTCACCTTTCTTGTTTACACTATGTAAGATTTTATGGTCGACAGATGTTTTGCTGTCGAAAAGCTTGTCTCGAATATAGATAGCGAAATCGCTAGACATTTTCTAAAAGATAAAATTTTTAATTTTTCTAAAAATATGTTAGAAAAAAAGTTTGCTGACATTGACAAAGAAATTTGAGAATGTTTTAAATAAGAACAAGAGGAAGTTAGAAAATGCTCAGATAAAACCCATACATGACAAGTTCTTATTTGCTCAGAATGGTATAACAGGTCTAATCGCACCACCTGGGTCGGTAAGACTTTCACTTATCTTAAAATGGCTGCACAAAAACAAGAACTAGATGAGAAGAACCCATTCTATGAGTTAGTAGTCATTTGTAGTACTTCGGGTCAATTTGACCAAACCGTCAATTCGTTCAAAGATATTATAAAGAAGTCTAAGTTAGTATGTATAAAAGATACTGAGTTTAGATTGGATAAAGAAGTACCAAAGAAGAGTTTTGAAGTACAATGCTATAAATGAGTATGTCAATTCGAAGTTTAAAGACCCAAATGAGGAAATGCAGAGAATATTAGAGAAGAAACACTTCAGAAACAAACAGAAAGAGATAGAATACATTTCGAAGAAATTGCAATCTTACGATTGGAAGACTTACCCTCACAGATGTCTTCTTATCTTAGATGACTTTGCTTCTCATCCTTTTAAAGAACAGAGAACAAGACATGTGTCGAATTCTTAAGAAGCTCAGACACTTTAACATCTCTGTTGTCATTTGTGTACAGACAGCAAAGAGTTTAAGTAAGGATGTAAAGAGAATACTTACTGATATCATACTTTTCCCCGGATTGTCCGAAGACGATTTCATGGAACTTATGAAAGAGTCCATGGCAGGTAAGTTTGACAGACATGAACTATGGGGAGTACAAAGTCATACAAGACCCTCATACTTCTTTCAGAATTCACATCTACGCAAACAAAGTTCAAATTGTAAAAAGTCAAGCGTAAAAATGTAAAGTTTGAGTCTTAGTTTGTGGTGCTGGGCTGTCGGTTCTTCTGGCTTTGGAATGGACTCGGTTGGTGGAACGTCAGCCATCCGTTTGTCTTGTCGGAAGGAAGGACTTTTCCTGTCGGAAGGAAGGACTTTTCCTGTCGGAAAGAAAAACTTTTCCTGTCGGAAAGAAAAACTTTTCCTGTCGGAAAGAAAAACTTTTCCTCGGAAAGAAAAATTTTTCCTGAAGGAAGAAAAATTTTTCCTGAAGGAAAGAAAAATTTTTCCTGAAGGTCGGCCAAAAAGTTCTCAATTTTCGAAAATTTGAATGGTTTACGGACGGACAACTGGAAAAGTTTTTCCTGAAGGAAAGAAAAATTTTTCCTGAAGGAAAGAAAAATTTTTCCTGAAGGAAAGAAAAACTTTTCCTGTCGGAAGGAAGGACTTTTCCTGTCGGAAAGAAAAACTTTTCCTGTCGGAAAGAAAAACTTTTCCTGTTGGAAAGAAAAACTTTTCCTGTCGGAAGGAAGGACTCGGAATGCCAGAAGGACTCGGACAAGACAATTTACCATCTAGAGCTACCTGAGCCATCTTTGGTGTCAAGCTTGAAAAATAAAGGTTCATTTACTCTTCTTCTTTGAAGTTGTCAAAATACTCTGTTATTTTTTCCTTCAGTAGCGGCAAATCTTCTTTGAATGTAAGTATTGTACAACCTTTCATATCATAGTGTGTTTGAGGTAACGTATCTTGAACTATCTGTTTAACATCTTCATTTGGTGTCATTGAAATCGGTAAGTTTTCGCGATAGAACCAATTTCTGTCAGATTTGTAAATCTTAGCAAGGTCGTAAAAGCTTTGTGTGTTCTTCTGACTAAATGCAACATAACCATATCTCTGTCTTCTTCATTTTCCATCTCTTCAGTGTAAATCATATACTTATAGTTCTTTTCCTTTCCTTTTGTACCGACGTGGTATTCTTTTCTGTATGTTTTTGTCTTCTTTCATCATATCTTCTCTCTGCTTTGTACAAAGTTCGTCAAGTAGCATAAGTATGTAGATTGCATAACGAGGTGAAGCCCACATTGCTATGAACTAGCTAGGAACTTATGAACATATATACCTTTTAGATGCGATGGTAAGTTTTGTCTGTCTTGGTACATCTTTTTAAGTTCTACATGTTCAAACTCACTGAGGAGTCATGAGTGCTATTTAATTCAAACCAGTCTTGTGGTTTCTTAGTATCTGGTGCAAAACATGCTGTCAAAATACTTTGCATTTGGTACATGTCATCTTTGACCGAACGAATGAGACGGAGTTGTTTGTTATACTGAACCCACTCGTATTCTTCATCTATGGCTTCATGAACGATAGCAGTTGTTGTGTTCTCTGATGTTGACATTTCTGTTCTTACATACAAAATAAAAAAATAAAAAAAAATAAAATTAGCGTTATTTTCTATCTTGTATAAAAGACCAAAAATAAACGCTTTACATGATTTTTCAGCAACTTCGTCAAATAATTTTATAGCACTATCTATCTCATCTACTTCAAACGTTTCTTTACCTTTCGTGGGAGCCCATACCTTTTCTCAAAAACTTCAAGTAGTTCTGTTTCTGCAGCTCTCATATCATTTACAAAACACAACCTTAACTCTATTGACTGTAGAGTCATATCTTTTAGTTATATTAAATGTTCTTCCTATCTATATCTCTTTGTATTGAAGTCCTTCGGTTTCTGAACGATGTAAAGTAAGCCTTCACTGCAACGTCAGTATCGAATGAACCATATGTTATGAAATTATATCCAACAACTGGGTCAATCCATAAACAAAACTAGTGGTATAAGACTTTTGTCTATAAGATATGCTGTAGTTCCATAGAATCTTACCGATATCAAAAGCTCAGGATTTCTTGTCAAAATTTTCTGAGATGAAGCATTTCTAACCCAGTCCTTTGCTCTCTTTCCGGATGGTGTTAAAATGTCTGACAAAGAATATTTTTTGTATTTCTTTGAGTATCTTACGTTTAAATCACCTATTCTAACCACTTTGGTCTCATTGTCTATCTTTTTAACTGTTTCAAACTCAGTGCTTGTCATTTCCTGTCTTTACATACAAAATAAAAAAAAATATTTTAAAAAAACTAGCGTTAATTTTATTTTTTCTATCTTGTATAAAAGATATGATTTCAGGGATTTTTTTTACGAAGAGTAAAAGTTCACTTCGTCAAAAAAATACAGTTATATCATGAAATTTGGTCATTTTTTCACGATTTCAGGGATTTTTTTTACGAAGAGTAAAAGTTCACTTCGTCAAAAAAATACAGTTATATCATGAAATTTGGTCATTTTTTCACGATTTCAGGGATTTTTTTTACGAAGTGTAAAAGTTCTCTTCGTCAAAAAAATACAGTTATATCATGAAATTTGGTCATTTTTTCACGATTTCATAGAGTTTTTTTACGAAGTGCAAAAGTTCTCTTCGTCAAAAAAATATAGTTATATCATGAAATTTGGTCATTTTTTCACGATTTCATAGAGTTTTTTTACGAAGTGCAAAAGTTCTCTTCGTCAAAAAAATATAGTTATATCATGAAATTTGGTCATTTTTTTCAGCAAAAATATATTTTAGGCGAACCAGGTCCCTCGGTCCCTCGGTCCCTCGGTCAAATGAACTTCTCTGAAAAAGTGAGACAACATGACATTTTGACAACAGTCCAGGAAATAGACTTCTTCGTATATGCTTTGTTGAGACTTCATCGTCAATGAGCGTAAATCAGACAAAAATATATTTCTAACATAAAAGTTTTATAAGCGCTTTACATGGTATATGTTGTGATGGTTCATGACTTTAAACAGTTTTGTAGCTTCTATTTCTTCACGAAGGATATCAAAAGTTTTAACTATGCCGAAAGTTTCTTTGTACTTCTTCTTGACATCAGATAGAAGGAAATCGTTAGCAGTTGGATAGTTTTTGTTCAGAAATGTCAACATGTCCATTTTATCTTCTGCTGGTTTCTCTGCTTCTTTCTTTAAGTCAGTATAGTCTTTTCGCATACGTTCTATCTCTTTGACGGAGTAGTTATATTTCTTCATTGCTGCTTTACATTTTGAACATTGTGAGTTCATTTTAGCATTATATTCTGAAACCTTACCTGCTAAAACAAGTAAGGCGTAAATGGTTTTCTTTAACTCAAAAGTTGCTGGTTTTATTTGTTCGTTCCATACCTTACCTCTTCTATCTTTATCTCTTATCTGCCATACACATTTTGCAACTAACGAAACAAAGTTGTCGTAGGTCTTAAATTCTTCAGATTTATATAGGTCAATGAAATATACCATATCGCAGTCTTTGTGGTTGCAATGAAATCCAAGAAACTCATAGTTTACCTTACGTATGAACTTCTTGGTTTCTACTGAGTCAGTTGGTTTCACTTCTATTTCATCGAATTCTGGAATAGTGAGCTTTTGTTGTTGTATTTCAGGAATTTTAGGTAAATGGTCAATAATATCCTGCATTTCATAAAGATATTGTTCATTTGTTTCATCTTTCGCACTACAGTCTAAATCTCCTTGGAGAAGTTCTTGCTTTATCTTCTGGATTTCTGTTTCGAAAGTATATGAAGAAGGAATGAAGCTTTTCATTTCTACTAACATTGAAGTTGGGTTCATGACTAACGAGTTTGGTGCTGTTGTTGCTGACATGTTCTTACAATAAAAATAAAAAATATTTTTTTAAAAAAACTAAAATATATTTTTGTCTGATTTACGCTCATTTACGATGAAATTCATGACAAAACATTGACGATGAAATCTATCTCCTGTGTTGTTGTCTAAATGTCATGTTGTCACACTTTTTCAGAGAAGTTAAAATGACCGAGGGACCGAGGGACCGAGGGACCTGGTGAGATCTAAAATATATTTTTCAATACTTTTTCAGCACTTTTCCGTAGTTGTATATGAAAGACAATTCGAGATAAAAGTCATAGTATAATGGAAGAATATGCTGCACACCGTTTGTTGTGAACCAGACTTGAAAGTCAGAGAAACTGTTACTAGGTGGTTCGTAGAATTTAGAAGCAAAGTCATAAAAGTCCTTACCGATACACAGAAAACTGTTGTTGCTTGAACTGAAACTTGCATGACACATGACATTTTGAGGGTCGAACACGTTTCTATAAACTGTCAAATCTGCTGGTGGACATATAAATTTAAACGGACCGTCAGGTGGCAATGGTTCGTTCTGGTTTAGTAACCGAAGAAATTGTGCCCAAGAACGTTTGTCTACTCCCCAATATAAAAACTCTGTATCTCTTGGAGGGTTATTTTCAATCCTTTGAAATGAAACTGTGGAATTCATCTTGTCGTATTCTAGTTTTAGATAGTATGTTCCATTTAGTAAAGAGTCGTATTTTTCTTGAAATTCCCAGTAGTATTTGTTTATTTGAGTTTGAAAGTCATTTAGAGTTTTTTCAAGACTTTCGTCTGAACGAATAGTAAAGATTCTCATTTCGTCAAATTTTTCTATTAGACCATCAGAGCCTTTATACTGACCGTGAAAATATACTGCAAACATGAATGCGTTAGTTCTATTTGAAAACAAAACTCTTCTAAATCCTATTGCCTTTGCATCTGAAGGACTTTGAAGCCAGCGAACTGGATAGTCAAACCTGTAAGCTCCGGATAAAATTTCTTCATCTGATATAGTCCTACCGGCGTTTGTGAAGATATAGTCTAACGGTTTTGTATCTGCTACTTTTGTTCTTTGTTTTTCAACCTGAAGCATTTTATATATGTAAAAATATACTGTTTTAAAAACGTTTTAAAATGGTATGCAATGTTTTATTTCTCATCTAATTTCTCATGAACTTTCTTGTCTATGTTTTGTCAAGACTTTCATCGTCAATGTTTTCTCATGAACTTTCTTGTCTATGTTTTGTCAAGACTTTCATCGTCAATGTTTTCTCATGAACTTTCTTGTCTATGTTTTGTCAAAACTTTCATCGTCTAATTTCTCATGAACTTTCTTGTCTATGTTTTGTCAAAACTTTCATCGTCTAATTTCTCATGAACTTTCTTGTCTATGTTTTGTCAAGACTTTCATCGTCAATGTTTTCTCATGAACTTTCTTGTCTATGTTTTGTCAAGACTTTCATCGTCTAATTTCTCATGAACTTTCTTGTCTATGTTTTGTCAAGACTTCTTCATCTAACAAACAAGTTTCCCAACGTACATTTCAAATAAAATAAAAATATACTGTTTTAAAAACGTTTTAAAATGGTATGCCATATAGCTTCTTGAATTTGTTAAGATATAGTCTAACGTTTTTTCCATCTGTATCTCTAGCGTTTACATAAGCATAGTCCGCCTTAGTAAAACATACTTGTAATTTTCTATAGTTTACGCCGGTATAAAAGTAGAAAGAGTCTTGTTCTTCGCTATAGTAGTAAAACTCAAACGTATGCTTACCATAGTCTGTAATTTCAATTGCTTCATCTTCTAGTTCGTCGACAAATTCGAATACTATATCTCCAAATTTGCTTTTGTTCTTATTGTTTTCAGAACGAGTAACCCAACGCAAGTTCTCAAGTCTATTGTCGTTTCTTATATGGTTTATATGGTCTACAAAAGGTAAATTGTTAGGATTCGGTATAAAATGAGTTGCAATGACAACATGTTTAGGATAGTGTTTTCCACTCATCTTCATAATAGCATATCCTTTATTTCCCTCCCATCCGCTTAAAACTTTTTTTGTCTCTTTGTTTCTGACTTCAAATGACTCACAACAGTGAATTTCATATTTCTCATCTAACAAACAAGTTTCCCAACGGTCTGTTCCAACAAACTCAGCGTACATTTCAAATAAAATAAAAAAAATATTTTTTTGAAAATATATTTTGTTTTAAATGGTATGCCATTTCATATTTCTCATCTAATTTCTCATGAACTTTCTTGTCTATGTTTTGTCAAAACTTCTTCATCTAATTTCTCATGAACTTTCTTCATCTAATTTCTCATGAACTTCATCGTCAATGTTTTGTAAAGACTTCTTCATCTAATTTCTCATGAACTTCATCGTCAATGTTTTGTAAAGACTTCTTCATCTATGTCTTCCCAACGGTCTTTTCCGACAGACTCAGCGTACATTTCAAATAAAATAAAAAAATATTTTTTCTTTACTTTACATAACCACCCGCTGCCAAAAGTCTTTGACGCCAACCCATACCAGCTAATGAAGGTTGGCTTGGTTTAGTCTGGAAACTAACCTTTGGTTTTGGTTTTTCTTCAGTTTTTGGCTTCCCTTCTTCTATTGGTTTTTCGTCACTTTTCGGTTCATTTGACTTTACTTCACTTGCTGGAATAGTTGTGTCGTCAACATCTTCATAAATGTCATATGCCATCTGTTTCTGTTTTCCTTTCAACTTTTTGTGTTTGTTGTAAAGTTTAGAATATTTTGACTCTAAGTCAATGAGATGTTCTATAATGAACTGTTGGTCAGTGAAGTAAACTTTTCCATCTGTTGTCTCGAAAGCTCCTTCCGACTTCAATATTTTATTTGTGAGAGTCTGTTTCTTTTTTGAGATACTTGCCGTTCCATTTCTATGAAAAGTGACTTTGTAGTTAGAGTTTGTATTTCCAGACCTCACACTTTCTATTATTGAATTTTTCTCTTCATCTGTAAGTTCTTTGACAGGTTTTGACAATGGTTCTGAACTTTTTGTTTGTGGTGTCAAATCTACCGTTTCAACTTCTTCGGTCATTTCATCTCAGTAAAAAAATTTAGTTTGGTTTGTTTTCAACTGGTTGTTGTTGTTTTTTAAGTCGGTCTAAAACTTCCTGAGGTATAGGGAGGACTTGACAAACACGTGGTTGTGTAACTGCTGGAAGCCGACAAATCCATCTTGAACCCATTTGTCTCAATGCTGTATTGTTCATTTCATCTCAGTAAAAAAATTTACATTCCCCAAGTTTGAGGTGGTTGCGGTTGGTTGTTGTTTACCCATTGTTGTGCATGGTTATATCCTCTGTTAAAGAATCTTTCACCTTGGTCCATGTAGTGCCCTGCTTGGTTATAGTAGTCATTTGCTTTGTTATAGTAGTTTCCTGCTTGTCTTCCTACATTGTCCATCCATCCTTGAACTTTTCCTCTTGTTTCAGGATTTGGAATAAGATTTGCTGCATCTCGTGCTACCTCCCAACCTTTCTGTACGGTTTGTATAATAGGTTGTGCTTTCTCTTTCAGTATACCTAATGTACTCAAAATCTTCCTTCCAATTCCAAATGCACCTCTGGCTAGTGTTCCCACTGCTGGCAAAAATCTAGATGCGACTCCTGCTATTGCGCCAAATAAACCCATTTCTTATGGGTTAAAAATGACGAATTCAAACAAGGACCCGTATGTTTCTAAGGCAACAAAGAAAGTACTCATGGTAAAAATCTTTAGTTCAACACCAAATGCTTGGTTTATGGATATCTTGGAAAACATTCCGAGGAGAAAAAAACATAGCACACATTTGCACACATTTTGACACTTTTTTTGACAAGCATCATTCAAATTTGAAGAAAAACCTCTAAATTTCATTCAAATTTCTGTCAAAATGTGTGCAAAATTGAAATAGGCACACATTTTGACATACGATTATTTATATACGTTATTTTAATGGTTTCAGAGAAATCTTCGTTACACATTATTGAAGATTACTCAATATTTAAGTGAATGACTCACTACCACCTGTTAGAAAAATGGTAGCATAAAATCCAAATGTCACATATATTATTTCTTATTTCATACAAATAAACTTACAATTATAACCTCAACTTGTTTGCAAAGCAGAAACTCAATATAAGCAATCGATCAGTAGTGTATTTAAAAGTCGAATTTAAATTTAAAAATTTATAATCTTATTTCGGAACCAAATAGTATAAATTTAGGACAAAAAGCTACGTGGTGTTGATAACAACTATTAAAATTCAAATATTACTACCATGAACAATACAATGGCTCATATTGATAATTGATAAACGTGCATATAAATTGCATATATCATCAATGTCATTAAGTAAATACATGTATATAAATAGATTAGAAATATTTTTCGGTTAGAATTAAAATCTATGTAATAAAAAATAAGTTATAAAAATAAATACCGAATTTTTATTTGTAATATAAACTGCTACAATATGCTAGTGTATACAAATGTATTTGTCGTATTGATTTGAAAGATCTTCAACATGGTTCAGATCTAAATTTGAAACTCGTAAAATAAAGCGAATCTTTATTTATAATATAAACTGCTACAATATGCTAGTGTATACAAATGTATTTGTCGTATTGATTTGAAAGATCTTCAACATGGTTCAGATCTAAATTTGAAACTCGTAAAATAAAGCGAATCTTTATTTATAATATAAACTGCTACAATATGCTAGTGTGTACAAATGTGTTTGTACAAATGTATAACTCTTTGTCAACATATTTGAGCGTGATAACCATATCAAAAATGAATAACCTTAATTTATAAATCTGAATTTGATTTTAATAATAAAAATAATATATATATATATGTAATTCATGAGTTATATTTTTACACTTCATTTTACCTGAACAAATATAGCTGATATCAAATAACAATTTAATATAGAAATTGAAATTGTTATATATGCAATGTAAATACACATAATACATATATTATAATTTATCAATG